TCCACCCGCCTTCTCCCCAATTTTCCGATGGTGTTGCCGTACGGCAGCGCTGGGGGAGGGGAAGTGACCTCTGCCTGGAGAGCATGGGCAGCGCGGAGCTGTGAGTGTGGCACAAAGCGAGCACCTGCAAAGAGTGTTTTCCTCCTTCAGGAGAACTCGGAGAAGCGTTTGGGTTGGCAAAGCCCTTTAAGCTCCCCCAGCCCAGCCGTTCCCCTCCCCCCTCCTCTCAGGCAGTTGTAGGGAGCGATGAGGGCTCCCCTCAGCCTCCTCTGCTCCAGGCTGAACACCCCCAGCCGCTCCCCATCAGCCTGGGGCTCCAGACCCCTCCCCAGCTCCGCTGCCCTTCTCTGGCCACGCTCCAGTAACTGCAGGCAGGATGTTAGGGACCAGGAAACTTCTCTTGATGAATATCAGAGTCAGCCTGCATCAGGGCCAAGCTACAGCAAGGCTCCCAATGGGTCTGCAAAGCACCATTTGATGGAGAAATCCTGCCAACGGTTGCTCCATACCCATCTCCAAAGCACTCCGCAGTATCAGCCTTGCTGGTGCAGCAGTGTGAGCTGATCCCACCCAGGACATTGCCAGTTTGCGTGCTCCTTGAGAGGCTGGCAGGTAATGAAACGGGCTGTTGAGATGTTTTGGTTCAGAAAAGCCTCTTTTGCTCATCAGCTACCTGGGCCTTTTAAGGCTTTCCAAGCAGTAGAGGGTAGTTTGACTGGAATGACCCAAAAAAGATGCACCTGGACCTGGAGCAATAAGGACTCAACAGTACTTGAGCTACAACAGCCCAAGTGGGAGTCACAGGAGAAGCAACTCTTGGCTGTTACCCCGCAGGAAGCGCTTGTCAGAGCTGAGATTGTAAAGGTCGTGTTTGTCCTGTGCCTGGATATGCATCTCCTGTGTGCCGAGGGCAGCCCGGGGACACGGCGAGGCCGTGCTGCAAAGAGCTGGCACGTGTGGGTGCAGGAGGCAGAGTGGCCCTGGAGACCAGCCCTGCTCCGGGGCGTAAATCCACCCTGCACGTCTCAGTCGCAGAGCTGTCTTTGCAGAATACCTGGTTTGGGCTGTGCAGTCCCTTCACAGCCAATTTGTTCCCTTTTCAGAAACACCTGGGCACCCTTTATAGCTGTTTTGCTCTTCTAAGGCCCAGAGCTTCCCAGGGAACGTTTTCCATACGGATCTCTACCTCAGCTCTCAGCTGTGCTTCAAACCTGCGTATCTCCACGGCGCCCCGTGACTGCTCACGTGCTGACCCAAGAGCCTTTCTGCTTGGGGTCACGTTTTTCCCACAGGGGCCTGCAGTGTAAAGATTGTCTCTCCTGTACTTGGGCTTGAAGATAAAGCAACAGCTTGAAGTTCTGGAGTGTGGCGCTCTGCAGGTTGTAGAGCAAAGTTTAAAAGGGGCTTTTGCACCACCAGGAGCAACACAACTATAAATCCTATCACATTTAGAGGGAAAAGGGTCGATTATTTTGATTTCCTAATGTAACAGAGCTTATGAAATCACATTGTCTATCAGCGTGCTCATATTCTTCCAAATTCCTCTCTTTCAAAAACTGTTTTAACCCTTTGGCCAGTTTTAACCAAAACGGACAGAGGTGTAGAGCTCGGATCCTGCATTTACAAACAGCTGGGTAAAGAATGACCCCGCCAGGGCTGCAACTGTGAGAGAGACCAACACACGCTGTCAGACTGTATTAGACACTAGAGAATCCGCACGGCTCTGACAGTTGATTGATGCCCAAACCGTGGGAAAAGCTTCAGTCAGAGTCTGTGCCCTCTCAGGCACCCAGGTCAGTCCCCCAAGAGACGCCAGCCTGTTAAAGCCAGACTCTGCAAATTCTGCGGCTCACAGAGCTGTTTGTTTGCTTTTTAGTGCCAAGCTGGGGGGTGCAGGCCGGGAGAAGGAAATCTTAGCCAAAAGGGCTAGTGCTGGCATTGGAGGATGGGACTAAGAGCCGTACAGGCGCCGCAGCCCCAAAGCCTGCCTTGGGTATCGTAGGGATGTCCTTCTCTGAAGGAATCACTGCAAATCATCGACTCTGCTGCCAGTGGTACAAGCTGCCAGGGCCCTTGGGTGCACTAACCCATATTAACACGCCGCCGTTTTCATCTGAGCCTCTCGGTGATCTACAGACTTTCTCTCAAACTCTCATCACCGTTTGAGAGATGGCTGAACAGTTGGTACAAGTATGCCAGAAAGAAGTTGAAAGTGGTGACAATAAGGACAAAACTGAGCTGGCTGGACTCTTCCATTTACTCTCTTGGCCGAAGTCAAGGCAGGCAGGGGAGATCTGGACAGCTGGGCCCTTTCCTTGACCACGAGATGGGACAGTGGAAAAAGGGGGACCAAATCCAGTCTGTTCCAACCTACATCCGCTGCCATAGTTCAAAAGCATCTCTGACTTTTTAAAATGTAGGAGGAGTTGAAAGACACTTTGGAGACCTTCCCCCTGTAAAAGCGAGCACAGTGTGGCCTGGTCTCTCTACAGAAGTCCAAGTGGGTGGAACAGCTCCTGCTGGTATGCTGGAGAACGAGTGGAAAGTCTGCTCTTTGGAGGAGTCTGCAAGTCTCTGGCTGCAGGGGGAAGGTGATGTAGATGAAGAGAGGTGGGAAGAGCATATTTGAGGGGAAGGTTTGAGAAGTCAAGGTCAAGTGTCTATAATGAAAAGAAAATCCTTTGCACAAGAGGGGAAGGTAAAGATATTCTTGGTTGCGTAATCTAGCCCGAGAACTATATTCTCTGATTTTTACTCACATAAAAAGCATCTCTCCACCACTTCCTCATCTCTAAATTGTTTGGTAGATGCCGTTCATTAGAAATCTGCTCTGTTGAATAGCAAAGTAATGAATCTTTGTGCTTTCCATTTCCTCCATCTGAACTGGAAAGTGTTTTTCTCACACAATCTCAGTCTTGAGCAGTAATAACAAAACCGCAACTTCTGTTGCAGTTCTTTATTTGCAGGTTGGATTCCTCTGTGGACGCATCTAAACACAAATGTGCACGACCTGCTGGCTACAAGACAGCAGACAAAGAGAATGATGGTTATGACTGTGTGAACAAGTATCATTCTGGTATTTCTGTTTTAACGTAGCAAGGTCCAGGACTCATTGTCCTGGAAAAACTGCTCATGACTTTGAGGTTTCTCACTTGTATGCTAAGCTGAGAACAACTTCTGTATGCAGAACAACAATTTTTGTATGCAGTTTTTGGCTTAACACCATACAATCCCTATTTCTAATTGATCAGGTGATACCGAAATGGGTAAAGCTTTGATTATGACCTGATTTATGTGCATGCAATTCCAGAACAAACATAACCAAGTTGCAGGATTTACATTAGCAAGGTTTCATGCTAACTCATGGGGCCGACCTGCTTGTTCCTCTGGCTCTTCCACACCACAAGCACTGAAGGCCCATCTACCGTAGCTGAAGCTGTTGCACAGGTTGGGAAACTATTTAACTCGGTGGCTGAAGCATCTGTCTATTCCTGGTCCTCCGTCCCAATCCCTCAGGTATCTTGAATTATTCTAAAAAATTCCTCAAAGTTTCAGGGTCTTCTAATAAATGTTTCACCTCTTTCATCTTCTCACTTTGCCTTTATGTGACTCCTCTGTAACACAGTTACACAAGTGGTGTGAGGTGATGGAGTAAAGGAGAGCAGGGTGCTGGGCGCTGAGGAAACATTGGCTCAGACACTAGTTCCCAAGCTCTGTCTGTCGGTGGTAGATTCGCCTCAGTCCAGGAGAATAAAGACAAGAAGTAGGAATATAGCTGAATATAGCTGTTTTCTCACTTTCCCCTCTTCTTTCTGTAATGGATGTGGGGTAGAGGGAAGGTATTATACAACATCCCTGCACTCTTAAGATGGTTTTCATTACAGAAGTAAAAGTGTCAAAATAAGAACCTCCCCACCACCACCCTAAAGTGCTCGGTCCGGGGTGGGAGGCACTGTTTCTGCAGGGAAAGGCTTTATTTTTTCTCAGTCTTGAATCAAAGTTGGCTTTCCCTGCTGTGACTGCTGCAGGAGGAGGGGAGGGCTGGCGGGCTTGTGTGCGAGGATTAATTTCCTCCAGGTCACCGAACAACCATCCGATAGCACTGGGGCTGCCAAGAGCCCAAACTGAATCTGAACCCCATGTGAAGCGCCTGGGTGTCTCGTGGAGGCACCCCCTGCCCTGCCGCTTGTAGCAAAACCCCTGTCTGCTTCTCCTGCTGGAAATGGGCGTTGGGAGAGGCCTGAGCCTGGCTGGCCTGAGCCCTGTTGGAGCAGAGATCCACCTTCTGCTTTCCAAGACCTGTGCTGAGGACAGACTGAAAAGTATCCCTAGAACAAATTGACTGAGGCGTCCTCATTCTGACATGCCTCTGGATAAGATGAAAGGAGCTGTTTGCTCCTTCCCCTGCCCCTTTTCTTGGTGACACAGATATAGGCCATGCAGCTCTTCCTCTGTTTTGGCGAAGGGAGGGGCAGTTTCCTGTTTTTATACAGAAATTAGATCGATCCAGGATGCCTTTGTGCTGCTGCTGGTCCTGATGTGCACGGACAGGCCAAGAGCGTACGGGGGCTCTGGGGCTTTTACTGCAGCTTTCCTGCCCGCTGCAAGCACCGAGCCTTTGACCCTCGCTGCACCGTACCATGGCTCTGCCTTGGGGTTGAGATGCGTGGAGGCCCACGCGTGGCTGCGAGTGGCGCAGGAGGCTCCCAAGCGCCAGTAATGAGCCTTTCCTGCACAAGCAGGGTCTGCTTTTCCAGCGGCCCATTCCAGGCTCCCAACAGAGTAGTGCAGCTCCATCCTGCTCCAGCCATGGGACTGCCCGTCCAAGGCCAAGGCTGTATCTGGCATTAACATCCCAGGAATCTGCTCCAGGCGGGCAGGAATCAAGTGGAGAGACGTGTTTACAACTGCTAGGGGGAGTAGGGGAGAGCGCTGGCAGGGGAGCAGACACAGCCCAGCGTAACAGTCTCACGGTCTAGCTGTTGCTGTCAAGGAATTGGTCTTGAATAAGGAGAAATGGAGAGCAAACAGCAAATTGGCTTTGCTCAGCGCTTTGGCCACAGTTAATAAGGAGGGAACTGGGCAAAGGTAATGTGTAATTAAGTTGGCTGATAGCAGAGTTCTGTCCAGAGAAGGAATGTGTTGTAGGCTGTCACGCTATAATTAGCAACATTTTGTTATAGTGCTTTTCCTTTCCTTGAAGAATCTCAAAAAGCTTCACAAAATGCACTCGGTTAAAGTTGCCAGCTCCCCTCGGGGAGAGAGGCGCCACGTCTGCAATGCCCTGATCCTGCGCGGTTGAACGGCCCCCAGGGCTGGCAGAGGGAGTAGGATGAGGCTTTTCCTCCAAAGACACCCAGCTGGGAGACACAGGGTCCCTTCTGCCTGGGGTGACCTGTGAAATGGGTGATTTTGCCTGTGAGAAAGCTGGAACATGGAGAGGTGAAGTGGCTTTCTAAGGTCACCAAGTGAGTCATGGGTAAAGCTAGGAATAGAAGCCAGCAGTCAGGCTCCCAGCTGCTGTACCTATGGTTATTTCTATTTATGCTCTTCGCTTCTCTTGCCCATGGTTTACTGAGTGCATTCCAAGAGTAACTTGCCTGCCAAACTTCCTCCCCTTTAAAACCAGAAATGGACAGATAAGATAGTAGAAGAAATCAGTTTAACTGCTGGTATGTGCACAAACATACCTGAACCCTGTCCAAGTTATCAGCTAGGTTTTTTTTTTTAATGCTCTTTTGGGCCAGGAGAAACGCCTCCAGTCTCAAAGCGCCTATGGCAGTTTGCTGGCAGGATATCAGATGATTTATTTCCTTCGCCTGTGGCCAAAAGGAGAAAAAATTAAAAAAGCAAAAAATAAAGAAGGCAATCATGTTAGACATAGCAAAACCCGGTCAAGTGACTCCAATATAAATCCCGTGAAGGCAATGGGAGAATCGTAGCTCTGGGAATTAGAAGTTTAGACTGTAAACCAAAATAAAACTGAAACCCCAAATAAAGGCTGCATTCTCCCCCAGTATATTTTCCCAGAATGCCTTATCTACCTCTCATTGAAGGCCTTGAGACTTTCTTCCATCATCTGGAGTTGTAAATCAGGTTGGGCCCAAGGCCAGAGAATCTGAAAAGGCCTAAACCAGGGGGTAATGATTTGGCTCCTCGTTATTCTTGGGGTGAGCAGAATTAGACTGCTGTGTCAACTGGTGTTCAGAGGCAACATGAAAAGGTTAATTCAGGTAGCAGACCTGACATGAAGTCAGATCGTTATATCGAATGGAAGCACGGTAGTGGCGTGAGCAGCCAAAAAGGCTGTGCTGTATGTGCCAGTCTGGTATCTAAAAGCAGGCACTGAGGATGGAGACAGGCTTGCCTGCTCTGTGACATGAGCTGTCTAAATTCACTCAAACTGCCCTCTGTCGTGGATCAGCGGATGGGCTGCCTTTGCATCCCAGGGCAGTATCCCATCACTTCTTCATGCTTCTTGGCTCTCTCTGGTCTCTCCTTTCTCCTCCGTTTTCTGCTTTTCACATTTTGCCCTTTATTTTTCTATTTGCAATGCTTTTATTGCAGTCTTGTTTTACGGTTGTCTTCATTCCCTGACTTGAGAGGCGATCTGTTGGGTCTGTCACACAGAAGCTACTGCGGCTGGCGCGAGTCCCCTAGAAGAGCAGAGCAGTGCCTGGGTCACTACGCTGCCGTCTGAGCCTCAGGATGCAGCCGTGAGCTTTTCTCTCGGTGACCTGCGCATGGAAGCAGGGAGCTGCCTGATCCTTGACCAGGAGGGATTCAGCATTGTGTGGTTTTCTGTGTTTCTTCTGTTCTCTACTTTGCTGGATTCTTCCCAGCCTTCTCTGGGATCTTTCCAGAGGGACCAGACTGGAGTAATGTTGGTTTGGTCCCCAGATATCTTGTATACACAGGCTATCCACTTCTATGAGGTGATTTTCGCAGAGTGTTCCAGGCGTAAAAGCTGACCTCTCCTCTTTGCCCTCGCGGTGATTCCCTGATGTTAGAGCTGATGAGTAGTTTACAACCGAGCTCTCCCTCCTCCTGCCAGTCCTGGCTCTGCACGCTGGAGTTCCAGGTCCTTTCACGGAAATTAACATTTACTTTAAGAAGGAAAATAAACAAAACCAAATAAATGTCCTAACAAAATAAGATCAATAAAAACACAGCCAAGTGCTTTGTTTTGCTTAGAAGATGCATCTTTGTGCATATCCACTTGTGTGCTGCCAAGTTTTGGAAATCAGCAAAGGCTGACATTGTTTACTGCAAATTAAAGACCCTCTGGAGACACTCTGTCTTACTTTCCAGTGTAGCCTCGGGCTGGGGGAGGGAGGCAGTTGGACAGTAGCATAGAAGAAACCTTGTTCCAGTGTTGCTAACTATAGCATTAATTTCAGAGTCATAAATAACTTCAGTACCATGGTTACAGCACTAGCCAAGTATGATATCATTTAGTTTAGGATTAGGGAAAAATACCTTCCTTGAGGCCGTGGGTTCTAAAATAAGCAACTTTTCCAGAACGGGTTTTCTCCCAAAGACTACACAGAGAAACTCCAGCCTGTAGCTGTAAATGAGAAGGATTACTTTGGTAAAACTGACTGGATGAGAAGTGTCAGCAGGGAAAACAGCTGAGAGGGTAGATTCTTCTAAGTCCCTCAGTGAATGACAGCCTGGCACTCCGTTGGTTTTCTTGGAAAACAGCACCTTCCGTGAATGAGAGCAAGGATAGTCTTTTCCAACTCGAGTTCTGTATTATGGAGACATGCAGAAGCAGAGGTCCCTTCAGAAATCAGATGCGACTAATGACCATTAGAAAGATGGATTGAGAGATCGGCGCTGACAGTTCCCATGGCTGCATGGGCAACATTATACTAATTGCGCAAGCAAATGACAGCTAGCGTTCATCCATTGGTCCAGTCGAACAAACAACTGCGATATTTGTATTACAAATTTACACACAATTACATGCACGTACAGTTCTGCAGGACCTTGGGAGCAACAGTGAAAGGCTGTTGTGAGAGAGATCCCGAGTACGCGTTGCATATAGTGCAGTGCTATAATGGACTACAGCAAGAACCTCAGATGGGACAAGGGGCTCACGTGAGGAGGCATAACGAGAGAAAAATTTATGGAGAAACAGACACTTTGAACTCTGCAAAAATGGTTATAGGTTGATGATACAGGAAATCTGGCTCTAGGGCTCCTGGATACAAAATGCTAGAGCACACAACCCAAAGCACCGATCCCATTCAAAATTGTTCAAAAAGTTATATGACATGAAGTCTGTATTGGTAGGCGTTATGCCAGATTAGATACTGTCTTTCTTCCTGCTGCTGGCATAAAGCCAGCATAAACGCCGTATTATGTACTCTGGCTAATTCAACAGAAACGTAATTGTGTGCCCAGGCACGATCTGGATTCAATTTGTCCTGCTAAATGATCCAGTAGTGCTCAAACCGGGTATAAAAGATCAGAGAATTGCAGTACAAACTTCTATTTCAAATTTCATGTCTTCTCTAATGTAAGGCAAGAGAATTTTGCTTCATGCAAACATCTATGATAATTGTTGAAATGCTTTCCCTCAGTTTAATGCCATTTCATGGCACGGATTAAGAGAATGCCCCCTCATGAAAAGCAGGGGAGAAATTTGAACACAAGGAAAAAAAAAGAAATGCACGTTTTATTTCTGCTCTTCCTGGTTCTAATCATACAGAGAACATCTGGAAAGCGACTTTTCAGGATAGGCTGAACAAGTCTGATTGATACACTGCATTCGTTAGCCCTGCCTCTCACTCCTACAGCCTGATCCCTGCTGAGAGATCCTCTGGTGCTCAACTTACCCCCAGCTCCTGATAGCAGAATCTCAGGTTTTGAAGTGATTGCGGGCTTCTGCAGTTCTGAGCAGCCTGAAGACTCTAGCCTCTTTCTTTTGCTCTTTGTCTACGCTAGGCTTGGCTTCTTTGAAGTAACTGTTATCCATCACGAAGATGTGGGAGGCCATCATGGATTTCATTTTCCCGTCAACGGACTCAGCGAACACCAGATACCTTCTCCTCTCCTGGGCTGTGTTAAATGGAGGGATGCTTTCGGTTTGGGAATAGTCCTCTGTGTGTGTGAGTCTCTCTGTCTTGAAGTCATCTGTATTTCAGCTGTGAATTGCAAAGCAACCTAAAGAGATAAAAAGAGGAAGATGACAGGAGAATTATATTTGTGTATGAGGACAGCGGTTTCTTAAGTTGGCTGGTATACTTTACATGGAAAAAATATACAGGCCATCCGGCCAAGGGAGTGGTGAGATCTCACTGACACTAGTACTAATTTACGGTACCAATAGTTTCTTTCATATGGCCAGTGAATAAAATATTGCTTTCAGACTCAGAAGATATGCAGCTTGCTTATGGCTTTGATGCTGACTTGTCCCTTAACCCCAGCAAACTCAAATCTTTGTCATTTCTCATGCTATGCCTGTTTTCTCCACCTTGATTGCAGACCATCTGTTCACTGCCTAATAATACAGGACCCTGACCTACGCTGGGATTTCCTACACCCGCACAGGGCATCAGTCTTACAATGACTCAGTCTTATTTTATCAGGGTTATGTAGAACTTCACTGTTTTGTTCAAATCCTCTGCTGTCAGGGAAAAGAGTCAAGTCTAGTCCACTCCAGCACTTTTGCAGGTAGTTGAGCTGCAATATGCCAAACAGCCTCATCTGTATTTGGGATGGGGCCTGGATAGCCCAAGGAGCCCCCTCTCCTGCAAGGAGAAACCACCTGCCACAGCTGTGCCTGTATCTCTACTTGGAAGCTCCTCGAAGCTCTTCTCAAGTGTAGTTTAGAAATATGCAGACAATTACATATCACTGCTGTTGTATTAAGACTGCCAACAGTGGGGTCAGGTTGTCCCCTTTGTTTTCCAGTAATTACTATTTTTAGTTCAGGTTTCATTCGAGTGTAACGTTTGTAGATGAGCCCAGAGGTCCTCTGGCTGTGCTCTGTACAGCTTCACGGAAGACAGATGGGGTGTTACAGACACGGTGTACTTAGTCCCTGCCACTTCATGAGACTCAAAGTCCAATTCCGTTGATTAAAGAACGATGTTTTCAAGTTCTGAGAAAAGCCATCTCTGGATGGAAGCAGAATATCTGCAGCAGAAACACAACGTAACAGGGAATAATTTCACCTGCACGGTAAAACAGGAAGATTGCGAATGTCCAGGGATCACAGGGAAAGTCTGCCATGGCTTGTGTTTTGTTTTAGTAGCTCAGACCATGTCAGCTTGTCAAGTATATCTCGGCCCTACTCAATTCCAAGGCAGTCTGTGACCTAAACCAAATCGAAATCTAAGGAAAGAACTAGGCGGCCGGGCACTGGCCAGCGTAAGTCAGTGCAGCTCCCCAGTTCACATCAGCGGGGAAGCCGGGCCAGGCAGCGTTCCTGGAACTGTGGTTCAATCTCAGTCCAAACGCCGAGGTCACCAGTGGCCGTCCCAGCTGCAGCGTGAGCTGAGGGCATGACTCAAAACTGCCATGACCTTGCCAAGTATAAAAAGCGCAAAGATGCTAGCTACTGCCTTGTGTGTGCTGACTACTTCTGGCTGAAAGCGATGGAGAAGGTACAAGCCACTGGACATCAAATACTCAGGCAATCAAGAAATCTCAATACATCTGCTGTTCAGAAAGCGCCATATTTTCATAATATATTCTCATATATTCTAAACTTCCACATACATTAACCAACTGATCCTTGTAAGAGGCCTGGGAAGATCCCAAGTAGCATAATCCTCATTTTACCGAGGCCCCAAAGGGTAATTAGCTGACTAAAGATTGCAAACATCAGCACTCATATTAAAACTGGGACCCGGAGAGTTCTTACGCTCATCACTTGCTGCTGCTGACGTGTACCTGTAGCCTGCACGGCAGCTGGGGAGCACTGGCCAGAATGGCGACGGTGAGAAACCACAGCTCTCAAATAAAGGACTGCCACACAAACACAGGGGTCTCACATTTAGGATGTCGTCACGACAGAGAAGCCCAGCCAGGCAGGGTTAGGTCAACAACTTCTGAAAACAGTCTGTGTAAAATAGAAACTACTGTTGAATTTAGCTTGTTGCTACTGAAACAGGTTCCTTGGAGTCATACCGGTATTTTAGAATAAAACCTGAAGTCTAGCTCCTGGTTTCAACCCTCAGTGCAAAACATAGTTGACTGCAGAATTACACAAGGTGGCCAATGGCTGCAGGTGGAAATCATACTAAAGGTGGATTAAGCACAGATATTATGGCTGAAGTGTGGTGAGGTGCCTGCTGGAGCTGAAAGCCCCAAGGAGAATCAATACAACCCCTTGGATGAAGTACAGGAGCCGAGATTGTTTTTCACCAAGCTGTGTGAACCAAACCTGTCAAGTTTCACACGAAGGGCAGCCCGAGGCATACTCGTTTAGTTCTCAGAAACTGGAATTTGTGCATAAATATGTGACAGCCTGTGGTAACCAGAAACTATTCTTATCACAGGAAATGCTCTTGGTCAGGAGCAACAAAGACGTTCGGTCCCCACAGCGCTAACAAGCCTTTAACTTTGTCTGTGCTACGCAGATCCTTGGGTTTATTTCATTGACAATGTTGTTAATAACAAAAAGAGATCGAGTAAATTGGTTTGACTCTAAGCAGACAAGCCAACAAGACACAGAGAATAACATGTTCAGAGCAGAGGGGTATGGCGGAATCTAAGCAGCCTACCTTTGCCTCAGCTGGCTTCTCCTTAGATTGATTTGTACCCAGATGAACATGACTAGCAGGAAGGTAAATTGATTTAATTTCCATATTAATACAAAAGAAGAAAGTTTAGGGTGTTTGGAAGGTTTATAAGACACAATGGAAGGTGGGTGGCAGTTTAAGTGAGACTAAAAGAGTCTAATTGAGTGTAAAGGAGGTTAAATTTCTGCCAAAGCTCAGTTTCAGGAGCTGCCAGAAGATGCCAACTTACCTCAATTTAGGATCCATCAAAGCAGTATTAGAGTTTGGCCTTAAGCATTGAGTAAGCAGCTTTAGGTGCCTGTGGGAGGGAGCGATATCCTAACAATAGTAGGAGTGGTGCATGGTGCATGCAAATTACTCTGAATACATTTGCTCTTCACAGTGGATTTTGGATGAGGATGGAAAGGAAATTAATTTCGTTTTGAAAAAAAGCCCAAGATGTTTGTAGTTATTAAGATCAGCAAGTGATTTAAGTGAAAAATTAGCTCTTGCGCATGCAATGAAAACCTTGCTGTGCTGTATCTCAGAAAATACATTTTGTAACAGAAATAGTGAATTTCAGGGGTTCTATGTTAACAATAACAGTTTTTAAACAAAAAAACCAACCCCAAACAAACCAAAAACCAAAAAACCAAACCAACAAAAAGCCAGAAAAGGGATATTGACTGTGGAGAGAAACAATTTTAATTCCAGGGAAAAAAACAAAAGAAAAAAGAAGAAAAAAACCCAAAGAAGAAAAGAAAACCTGTTAGAAAAATGGTTTAAAGAGCGGTTTTGTAAGTAGATTTAAAAGAGGAGAGGAGCTGCTAAAGCCAGAAAATGGCTTTCTATAAATGAGGAATCCTTTCATTTGTACTGCTCTTACAAAACAATGCAGGAAATCACACAGGATGCTGCCGACGAGAAGGAGGAAGTGGTTTTAAGGATGACATTGGACTCTGCAAGTGGGATGTCAGACATATATCTAAGCGTACGCCTTTCTACTGGTTCATATACCATGAACTGCTTCTGCTTTCTCTGCCTCTGCTGCCAGAGGCGCAGCGCACACTACGACGAACAGCTCGGGGAAGCTCTGTTTGAAGCTTCTGCGGCTCATGACTAAACACGGCCAAACTGTCTCGTAATCTCTTGCTTCAGGGTGTTGTTGTTACAAAACCTGTTCAGGAACTGAAACTTTTGAAGTCTTACCGAGCTGTCTGGTGAAGGCCCCACCTACTCCGAGTCCTGTTTGACTCACGACACATCATGCGGGAAGCAGGCAAGGCATGAGAAGGCCTTATTATAGAAATAGGGCAAAGTACTTGACTTCTGCAGAACTCAAGGCTGCCTTTGCCATTTTTAAGCGGTTACAGTAAACAAGATAATCCATGTTTACTGAGGTCCTTGGTGTCTTATTTTCCTTTCACTCTTGATGTGGTGTACAGGTTCAAAGGCACCAACACCACTTCTTTGCCTCAACAGAAGTTGCACGAGGCGGTTTCTAAGAAGGCTGCAGGAGCACAGCCTTGCATGATTGCTGTGATAGCGTGTGCATCTAACTGCAAAGAACAGTTTCAGTTCTAACTAGTCATTCGCTACAGTTTTGAATACACTTAAAAATAACCATGCACAGAAATGATGCGTATGGATGCACCTACAGAATTCGTGTACACATTTGTGTGTATGTGTTTGGCATACTTTCAGTGAAGGTGCCTGTGTATCTCTGCATGGAGTCTACGTCCGTGCTTCTTTTAGAAAATGTGGCTCAGATTATTTTCAGCTAATCTATATAGCTTTTAAAGAGTTAAGTTCAGGTCAGTAGCCACATGAAGCTGAAAAATCTTAAACTTCTATCAGCGCCCTTAAATCCAAACTCAGTAAAAGAGTTATTCATAAAGCTTGCTCCTAAATGGTTCATTCAAACATTAGATTGGTGAGCCTGTAACGAAACGCAGGCTTTCACCTCCGTGCTGTTTTTTTCTCGCGAACAGAAAATTCAGGAGACTGACTCCTCAGTACTTAATTTAATCAGAGCCAGTGCAGATCTAGCTGCCTGTTCATGTTTCTTAACTCTCCAAACTCAGTAATGCATCAATGCTGTCAACTCCTGCTACAAAGCTGAAATGTATTTTCCTGCCAAGTGTCACCTAAGCACCAGAGGGATGAGTCTCCGAGGGGGAAAAAAAACCCCACTCAGCTGTGTGGCTCAAAAGGTCCCTTGCTTCAGCAGCACCTGCCCTACCTGTCCTCAGGCATGTGAAATCTGCTGTGTGCCTTTGTCTTCCCTGCAAAATGTTGCTTCATTTCCTGACTTCTGTAGCGAAGCAAGAAACGTTTAGGAACTTTGAGAGGAAAAGCTTTTGCATCACTAAGAAAATATTATGAGCAAACAGGAATAAATGTAGTCACGTTTTACAGCTGCAATTTATAAAACACAACTCAATTTCAAATCCGCTGAAAAAAAAATACCCTTGCCAAATAAACAAGGTCCACCTGCAGTTTGGCTTTTTAGTTTCAAGGTTTCTCTTTGCTGATGGAAGTGGCCTTCATGTGGGTTAAAGCTCTATAAACGGTTGCACATTGAGGTTTAGCGCTTATCCAGTTTCGCAAGAGGAGGTCAGCCCCTGGTATTTGTGTGGTCCAAGGTAAAAAAACATTGGTTTTCGTGATGATAGAAATTAGATAAGTGAGGTCCTCGTTCTACACCACTCTAAAAGTTACCAAAGAGCCCTGGAGCGGGAAAACCTGGAGCTAAGGTTATCCCCAGAGATGCTTTCCTGAACTAGATCCGTTCCCTGGGCAGAAGAGTGGAGAGAAAGGATTGCTTCAGAGCACTGCACTCCCAGACGGAAAACACTTTTGCAAAGGAAGGAAAGATGGATTTCCCCCAAAACACCGTAGCACATTTCCTAGGCTAGTGCAAAGTACTTCCCAAGACTGTCTGGATCGCTGCTGCTTCGGTGTGGATGCAGCCACACAAGTTTGAGCCAAACACAGGCTCCCAGTGTGAGCATTGTGGCTGTCCTGGCTCCCACTGCTGGCTTTCCACCCCGGGGAACTATCAGGGTGAAAAGTTCTTGGAGGCACCCTGTGAGACCCTGGGCGTTGCCTGGGTGGAGGCCCCGTGGCCTCACAATCTGGCCCTGGCACAAGGCTTGGTTTTCAGAAGAGCTCAGCTGCCATCTGCATGCTTGCTTTAGCAGCCAGGCTTTAAAAACAGCTCAGCTCTTTAGAGACTGAACTGTCGAAAATCTGGTCAGTTGTGTAACAAAAGGAGCTGCCACACACTAATTCATAGTCATTCGATCTCTAAGAAAAGCCACTTAGCAGATCTGGACAAGGGCTGAAGCTGATAAGGAAGGAACTCATTAAATTGATAGGATTAGAGATCTCTTTTAGCCTTCTCCCCAGCCTGTCATTTGCCACCCGTCGCTGGCTCTGTTGTTTCTGTAACTCAGAAGAGTAGGCTTTGGGAGCAGAGACTGTGTCTTCCTACATCTTCTGCCTAAGGTTCTTTTAACATTACGTAATTACCAATAATACAGAGGGAATAGGGTATGAGAGCTGCAGAAATCCAATTTTTGTGATGTTGCTCTTGACAGCAAAAAGCCCCTTCTGTCTCAAGAATCCTTTATAGTAAGTACGTCTCCTAAATAAAACATGGTAAGACTCAAAAAAAACCCAACCCCAAACCAGCAAAGGTCTCTAAAAAACCTCGGTAACTAAGACATTGCTGGAGCCGACCACAGGCAACCTCCCGGGCCCATCTGTTGACTCAGACAATGCTAACTCTGCCTGTGAACAACCCCAAGCGCAGGCGTTCGGGTTCAAACACCCCAAGTCCAATTTCCATGGACACTGAAGAAACAGGGCTGAAATATATATATATTTTTTAAATTATCTTTTTCCTCGGGTAGATCGAGGAACGCAGCCTGGTTCAAAACCGTTGGGGAATCACCTTTTGAACACTGCTATCCCACAGTTCAGTGTCCTGGGAAAATGCATCGCGGGGACCTCGCCTTGCCACCAGCATGGGGCTGAAACGCTGCAAAACTGCAGAGGCTGCTGCCCACCATTACGTAGATGACACGTTTATGTAAATAGAGACAAAAAGGAAGCTCCTTTTGGGGGATGGGGACCTGTCGCCCCATTAGCAGTGTAGCCAGACCAGTGCCCTGCAACACCCCTCCTCACCACATCTGCCCACCCCAGGCTGGCAGCTCTTGCCCAGGGCCGTGTCAGCCGGCCCGGCTCGGCCCTCGGCGGCTCCCCACACCCTGCCTTCCCCACACACAGATTTGGGGTTTCCTTTGAGGTCTAGACACGGTAACAGCACTAACGCCTTCCTGGCCAGCTCACCGCAGCGCTCAGCGAAGCAGGACTTGGGGTGCCCCCGGCCCCAAAGGGGTTCTTTTCTGTCAGGGTTTTTCCTCCTCGCTCCCCCCGCCCCTATTAGCTCTAATAAATGGTATGTAATCAATACCAGCTGGACTCCAGCTATTTATACTGAAAAACTGTTCAAATCATGCCCAGCAACAGTTTTGGTCCATGCAAGAAAAGCAATTTCCCAAACTCCTGCACATAGTATGGTAGGGTACTGGCAAGAGACCAATGTAGTGATTTAACCCTAGCCAGCAACTAAGCAACACATAGCTGCTTGTTCACTCACTCTCCCCCAGTGAGATGGGGAAGAGAATTGGAAGAGTTGAAATAAAAAAACCCATTGGTTGAGATAAGAAGAGTTTTATAACTGAAAAAAAACCCTAAAAATAAAGTAGTAGCCTTTATTGTGACCCTGGTAGTAGTAGTAGTAATAATAATAATAATAATAATAATCATCATCATCATCTGGGGCATGGCAGGCTGCCTCTCAGCGCAATGCAGGCCCCAGTGTGGTGGCCCTGCCTTCGTCAGGCCTCTTTTGGCACTTCGCAGCAGTCGTATTTCACAATTATCAGTATTTTCACGGACAAACTCATCTGAATTTTTCTCCTCTATTGCTCTCTCCACTGCCCTCTCACTGCCAGCAGAGATACGAGCCGCTTTGTATGATTTAATTCACTGCGTACTGGGGTTTTTTAGAGAGGCTTCCATTAGCAGCTCCCGCTTGCAGGCCTGGGCTGTATTTTGTATTCCTGACTCCCTGCCCCAGGCACGGGATACTTTTATGTAGAGGATCTGGAGCGGGGGGTCTGTGTCAGGCGGCCTTTGTGTCCCCTTGGGCAGTTCACAGCCATCTTGCTTTTCCTTTGCATGTTATTGTTGGAAGCACATGCCTTGCCTAGCAGAAGAATTAAGGGTTTTTATGTTATTTAAGTGCTTTTTTTATATTAGGAAAAGGTGCACAGTGAAATCATAGAATCGTTTAGGTTGGAAAAGACCTTTAAGATCATCAAGTCCAACTGCTAAATGTCAGTAAGCAGGTACAGATGCATGCTGCTTCATATGCCTGTTTTTTGGTTGTGTTTTTTTTTTTATTGTGAAGACAAATACTTTTAGGAACTCCATTTTTATTTCCCAGCTTCTTTCATTCCTTGTGGCTGGGCATCATCAGCCAAATAGGTATAATAAAACCATGGAAGAAAGCAAATGTGCAACAACACGTTTTACCTGAGCAGATGTAAAATTGCACTCATTAAAGCAGCACATTTAGGCATAAAATGCAGCTCAAAAATCTCCGTAAGAGCTTCCACTAGGGAAAAAGATTGCTTTGACCTTCAGAGATTGACGCAATGTGCAATGTTTATTAATAGTTTTAGCAAGAAAGTGTCTATACGGGGGGAAGTCTTGCCTTTTATTTGGCTGATTTTAAGAGTGCCCTTACCATTTCCTAACTTTCCTACTGAATAGGGTTGATGAAAAACTCCCCTACTCTTAGGTTAATGACTTGGCTGCTGGCTTATACTAATGTCCATCAAAAGATTTCTCTGCTGCTCTGATGATGAAAGTAGCACTGTAAATGCTGCAAGACCCTGGGCTTAATCCCAGTCACTGCCCTTCCAGAAAGGGGAGGCGGCTGCGAGGCCCTGGATAGCGGTTCCGTGTTTGAGGAATGCTCTCTGAAGCGTGAGGGACTTCCTTGCACTGGGCTTCGCTCAAGTTGTCAAAGAAAATAAGGACCCCACAGGCAAAACGGGGTGCTGTGGGGTCATTTTTAGGATAGCATAATGCTGGGGACCTAAGGCTGAGTGAGTCCTCAGGAAGAGTTTGACCCCCAGGTCCTGCTCCACCTCCCCAATACTGGGTTTTTCACACCGCCCAGCGGCAGCGGTGCTGGCTGAAGATGGACCTGAGTCGCGGTGCTAGGCTCTAAGAGTCGGCAGCACTTGTGCCGTGTGATGGGGCAGAGGAATGCGAGGCATGTCGCAGCCGCCGCTCATGGTGGCAACGAGCCCTCTGTGCTGCGTCGTGGCGTGTTTAATGGTTCTCTGTCACGTGCAGAAATGCAGCCTGAAGTCGGAGAGCATGCCATTGAAATTCTGCCGCAAAGCGTGTTTCCTGGCACGGGGCTTGGGAAGGCGCCGTTCTGAAGCGTCCCCTTGTTTCTCCTTGGGAGATGCTTCCTGCCCTTCAGGAGGTTTTCTATAATCAAGATTTTTCAAGATCTGCTTTCATGTTTTTGCTCACAATTTGGTATGCGCGTAATTATTTATGCTGAGAGTCTTCCTTGGAACAGCACAGGTCAAAACCCTCACCAGCAATACAAGTCTGTCTCTTTGCTGCGAACATGACTTTCAAGTGTAAGAGTTTCTCTATCTAAAGCAAAGATGACTTGAATTTTACCAAGCCACCCATTTCTTTTTGTTGTCAAGACTCAGCATTAACCGGGCCGGCAGAAGAATGCCACTCTCAGGTCTCAAAATTCACGTGTAGCAAAGCCAGGGCCTGGGAAGGGTTTGTGGTGTGACTTTCCACAGGCAGTGGGAGCGGGGATATTTTTTTTCCCCCTCCCCAGGAGCTTCTCCTCCAGCCCAGGCAAGCCTGCCAGCAGAGGGAGCGCAGCACATGGGCTCGCAAAAATAAGAGCTTGCTGAAACAACCCAAACAAACCCAAACAATTAGCAGAATGATTATGGTCTTTAGCAGAATAAACAGAATAGTCAGAAGTCAGAAGCCTTTCCCCGGCAATGAGATCCAGCTGCAGGCTGGATGGGGAACAGGCTCTGCATCTGGCAGCCATCGTGTTCCTCCATCGGGGAAGTCCCCATGGCGAGGGTGTCCCCGTGTATCGCACAGGGCCCTGCTGCTGGTGGGGGTGGACCCCTGCCCCTTTTTTCACCCTCCTTGGTAGATCCGCTTCTGTAATTCCCCATCGGAACGCAACAGTTTTAGGTAAAACCGGAATGGAGCTTCCTCTCCCACGGTGCAGCACGAGAGCAAGTGAAGGGCACGGGTACCGGCGACGGGCAGGGCGATGGTCTCAGAGCTGCTGTGGTGTTGTGCTTGCTCATGCTCTGGCCGTGCTTCAGTTTTTGGCCAGAAGCTGGGAAGTTTGGGGCTTGCCTGCGAGCAGTGCAGTTCCTGCAGACAGTGGGCTGTGCTCAGCATGGGAAGGTGGAAGTTAAACCGGCTGTCTTGAAGAGGATGATAAATAAAGGCTAACGGGAACTGAAGGTCTTCCCTGGGACTTTATCAGCTGTGGTTTATGCTATGAAGGGGCTTTTCCAAAGGCTTGGGCGAGTGATCCCCTCACCTCGCCTGCAACGTCCCCCTCGTGCCTGGGCATGGGGGGACTGGCAGGGCTGCTCCGGCTTGGGGAGCTGAGGACCCTGCTCCAGACCCTCCTGATTCCTGCTCAGATGGAGACCGCCCTTGACCCAGCTGCAGCTGGAGGGCACCCCAAAAGTGCTCGGCCTTGTTAGCAGGCAAGGCTTGGGCGAGTGATCCCCTCACCTCGCCTGCAACGTCCCCCTCGTGCCTGGGCATGGGGGGACTGGCAGGGCTGCTCCGGCTTGGGGAGCTGAGGACCCTGCTCCAGACCCTCCTGATTCCTGCTCAGATGGAGACCGCCCTTGACCCAGCTGCAGCTGGAGGGCACCCCAAAAGTGCTCGGCCTTGTTAGCAGGCACTGTGGGAGCCCCATGTTGCCTCAGTTAAGTGTCGGGGACGCAGAGCACAGAGGATGGACGTTGCTCTCAGCCTGCAGGCACTGGGGTGAGAGGCAGCTAAATGATTTCTCCCGTATCCCTGCCAGCATCTGGGCCCTCTCCATCGAAGTTAATGCTTGTGCCTGTCTGAAAACAGGACAAACAGCACATCCAGACTCTGCTCCCTCACCCAGAAGGAGCGGGGAGTTTTGGGGCACTCACTTCAGCACAGCTGTGATGTAGCTGGGATCCAAACCTGGCCCCAAACCACTTTTACGGCAGGTGGATCGTTAGGAGGAGCTCAGTGTTTGCAGGGTATTTCCATGAGAGCTCCGTGGCCCTTAAAATACAGAGCACTGTGTTCATTGTGGATTAAAAAATGTAGCATCCAGCCAAGCTATGGTAGGTTAGTTTTTAACAGGGATTTAAGCATTTTAAATCCTTTCAAAGCTGTAAGTAAGAATCATAATTTAAACTCTTGCAGACAGATGTCATGGGCAAAATATGAAGACTATTTAAAAGGCAGCCCGCCTGCCTGTCCGTCTGTCTGTCACCTTCTAATCTGCCTGACATGGGCAATCGCCTTTCTCTTTCCAAACATTACGAGGCCAGGTCTGCACAGGCGCGTGTGGCGTGACCGGAGCTTCCCCGGGGTCCTGCACGCTGCCGGCCAGCCGCAGCCCGGGCGTGCGGACTCAGCCCGGCTGCAGAAGAGCCTGGACCTGCCCATGCCCAGCGGTGCGGGCTTGCTGCGAGGGGAGGGGACAGCCCATGGAGCAAATGCCTGCAGATTTGGTGGAGGAACTTATCCATCCAAGGCACTCTTCCCTCTGAAGTGAGTGGGAGAAGGGAAGACATTTAACTTACCACCGGATAGAGTTTCTTCCCTACTTGTCTGGGGGCGAGCGTGACATTTGCAGAAACTCAAGCGCCCTTTGGAAACAAGCAACACGCGATGGTATTTCGCTTTTTTAGGTGACCCGACTGTATTTTGCCTCCCTCCCCTCCCCGTTATAGAGAATTAAATGATGCTCAGCCAAGTAAATCTCTTACTTGGTCAAGCCTTTCCAGCTGTCCTTCGCTGGACGGGGAGCAGTTGCCTTGTATGGGAGCCACGGCTTCCATAGAAACCCGCTGACTGCCTTGCAGATGTTTTTGGGGGAGGCAGGAGGAATCAGCAGCTTGGGCGGACATGGACACACACACATCTAATTCTGGCATTACAGAGGAGGTCAAAGGCGACAAACGACACGGGGATGGCCCATCTGACTTCTGAGGCTGGGTTTAAAGGAGTGAAAAAAAAAGTGGTCTGATTACTTGTCTGAAAAGGTTTGGGAAAATTACTTTTAAGGGATTTTT